AGGAAATTTTTTGCATTATCCTTACTAAACATCAAAAAAGAATATTTTTTGTGCATTGGCTGGAACTAACAACAATGCCGAGATCATACGGGTGAAAAATTAAACGTGTACAAATGTTGATTTCTGAATTCCTCAAAGCTCAAGACGTAAATTAACAAAATTTTGCAGTTCATGCGCATATTGATGAGCATACTAACATCTACCCTCAATAATAATTTTTTTATTAGAGAAAAAGAGTGACTTTGCGCAAAGGAAAAAAACCCTCATCCTAATTCGAAACAATTTACGCTCGTAGGTCTATACTTGACTCTAAGAGAAGACATAGCTTGGGCTGCAGTTAGAAAGTTTTTTGAGCACGTCACAAATTGAAAATTTCACGGTACTTCATTACGTATAAAGTGGTTACGCAATCCAGCCTAGCAAGTAGTTTTTTAAAAATCTTGAATTTATGTCTCTCATTTTGCTTAAAACCCGTATAACTACAGAAATTTCCAAAATTTAGTTAAATAAATAAGTACCTATTTTCTGGCTGGTTTTTTTTTTGGAAATTGTGCTTGGGTTATCTACAATTCATTAGGCTCTGGTATACCTGAGATGAAAACGATCATTCGTGGAGTGAGACTGAAGGACTATCTTACTTTTCCAACACTGGTGTCGAAAGTTGGTGGTCTTGCTATGGCGTTGGGCAGTGGAATTCCCATTGGTAAAATGGTAAGCTTGCGAGCATTTGAATTCTTTCTATTTGCTTTTACCCTTCACCATCAGGGTCCATTTGTACATCTCGCGTCGGTGGTCTCCAATCAGTTGGCGATACTCGCTTCGAAGTTTGATTCTGCATTTGCTAGCGAAACAAGGCGAACTGAGTGTTTAGTGGCTGGATGTGCTGTCGGAGTTGCCTGTACATTTAGCGCTCCAGTCGGAGGTATGTTCTGTACATTGAAGTATTGGGGAGGATTTCATCATATTTATCAAACATAATTTTGGCTGAATTTCTTCTGATTGTGATGTTCCTCAACAAGAAAAATGGGTATAGTGTAGCCCATCAATAACCATGCAGTGATCTTCCCGCACGTCTAGTAGAAAAAGTGGATTGAAAACTCAGAAAAGAAATGAAAAGCTGAAATTTTGAATTCTTTTATTTCGCAGTATATGTAAGTCGCTATTTTACCTTACAACAGCGATTTTCATATCTGGAGAAGAAGAAACACTTATTTATTGACTTATTTCCTCACTGTAGCGCTCTTTCCAAGCTTATGATTCTTTATTGCAACACCTTTTGCTCACATCTCGATAATTCAACTAATCTATTTTATTCCTGATACCACTGACAATTTCATGATACGAAAAATTTTCAAATAATCTCTCAAATAAATAAGAAAT